GACAACCCAGTCGCAGCTTCAAGGGCCAGATAACCCCTGAGGTCATGCCTTCTTCCACGTCTTCGAGAATCGATCCATCCTTGAAAGCTTCCATCAAGCTAGCTGCATACAGCTCTTCTTCAGGAGTCCACTTACCCCGGCTTGTTGGCTTGATCGGCGAGAAACGAGGACATGGTTATTGCTAGTAGGTATGTGTTGAGACTGGTATTCGTTTGCAGTCAGGCAGAGTTTGAAATTGTGTGCTTTATTGATCAGTCTTTTTTGGTTTGGCGGATAGTCTGCCGTCTGCCAAACTGGCAAATGAAGTGGTGTGTTGTGTGGTGGAGGGTCTCTTGTAAACTGCATGTACTTGCTGCTCCCTAAAAAGAGAAGAGAATTCTTGAGTGCGCATCTGTGACCATGTGACCGTATGTCTTATTGGAGCCGAAACAGTGGCGAATCCGCAAGGAATCGAATCCAGACTCCGGACATTCTGCAAAGGCTGGAAACTGGGTCACTTGGGATCCAGCTCTGTGGCCTTTTTTGACGCCTCGAAATATTCCCTGATGAATCTCAGCACTTCGCTGTGGAGTTGTAGAGTGATGTGGCTTTGTTCTATGCTGCTCCCTTCTTGTGCTTACCGGTGAAAACAGACCCTTCGAGTCAAGAGCTGTGCGCAAAGACCAGCTGTACGAGCTCCGCAGGTCACCCCATCCATACAAACTTACCAAAAAGCTAAACCAGAGCGCCACCAGAGCTGGGGCGTTCTAAGCTTTTTCACTGACCAAGGCTTCTGGTTTCTGGAATATTTCTTTTGTACCTGGAACTTTAACGGAGTTCTGATGGCAAATACGTCTATTTAAAATACAAGTAAGTGACGTTGCGGGAATTAAGACTCGTCACCCGTGAATCTCAGTTGCGAAATAATTCTCACTGAGTACTCAGTAGGCATTCTGGTTTCGGGCTCCACCATACATGTACTTATTTATGCATTGGTACCGTATGACTGTACTGATTCGATTGATGATTCTCATGGCTTTCTCATCCCTGCAGGACTTATGCTATCTGGGAGTACTGAGTACTGAGAGTACTGTGTAGATGTAAGCGACGACTCGAGTACCGGTACCAGGTACTCGAGTACACAACATACATTGTGGTGGAATAGCTGCTGTACATGTATTGGTGTTCCAGCGTTCTGCATGTGGATTCTGGATGCATTCATTTATTTTTAATCGGAGCTATGCACGGTATTGTACATGTATGTCGAACCAGTCGGTAGCCTTCCCTTGGTTCTCGGGAGAAGAAGGAACTTCTGGAACTTGGAACTTGAGATGTAAGACTTTTGGCAGGTGCTGTTCACCGGTGAGTGACCGGTGTACCACCGAGCTGTTGATGCTTACTACGGTGGCACCGTGGGCGTTCAGGTTTGAACTGCTGCAGTTGAGAGTGAAGGGGTGGAGGAGCTTGCAGGCCTTGTCTCCAGATGGCCGTGAGCTATGAACAACATTGCAGGCAAGGCAAATGCGGGCATGCGGTGGGGCGGTATGCTTACTGGTAAAGAAAGAAGAAAGAATCCGATTTACGATGGGAAACCAAGATACCGAAGCCTGTTGATGACTGCTCCCACTTCAATGCCGGAGAAACATGATAGTTCTAAGATTCACTTTTAGGCTACCGTAGGAGTTAAGAGACGAAATGGTTTGGTTTTCCGAGTGACGCACCATTTCTTTCCAAAGACTCTAAAAGTTCCAAGAATCTGATCAGAATCTGATAGATCTAGCTGGTACCAACCAGAACCCAGAAGACCACGTTCAGATTGTTTAATAAGTAGTCTCCTCTTGAGTTTCAGAATTTCACCACTGAGTATTGGATGTGCACTCTTTCAAGTTCCAGTTCCAGTTCGGCAGTTCGGCAGTACTCCTGTAAAGGACAATCAAGGACTAGCTAGGTATTACAGGTATGTATGTATGTATGTATGCATTGAAGTGACAGAAAAACTTGAAAATTGCTTTTCAGAAGTCGAGCACTTCGAGTTTTGACAGTGGCAAACAGCAAACAGTGCAAACAGAGTGGGGAGTGGTACCGGTATGCATTGAAGTCGGTGTAATACATGGCATTGTACTCAGCTGATTCGATTCAGAATCCTGAATATTCCAAGAGTGCAATGGTGGTGAAAGGCTCCCTTCGGATGCAAGTCATTATTTGCGTACTAGCTAGATACTGGCTACGTACATGTAGCAGCTTGGCTAGCTAGCTATGCCAAGCTAGACTCCGAGTAGGGAATAGTGAGAAAGCTGCAAAGAATCCTGTTGCTTCGGCAGCTCTTCGGCTCAACCCAGCTGACGGGACGCCTTTGTGGCTGGAAACTTGCTAGGAAAGCAGGGCACCAGGTCAGACATGGTGATGTACCGTCCAGCCACCATGGCCATGATGACGAGCGAAACGAAAGAGGAGCTCACGAAGCAATGTCGTCGTTGCCGCAGTTCTTTGCGAGGATTGCTTTCTCAATCCATGCAAAGATGCAAAGGGCAATGCGCAAGGACTTGCTTGACCATGAGTACGGTACCATTCAAATCCCCTGGGCCACATTTACTACAGCACCTCATACCAGGAACCAGGAGGGCACCTTACATTCAGTTATGCTAGATTCGATTCGTACAGTTTTGGCCGGTACCGGTACCGGTACCTCAGGCGTTATCGGGTACCCGTGGCCGCAGGCAAGCAAGCAAGAAGAAGGATGCATGGTTGTTCACTTTAGGAGACTTACTAGTACTAGTAGCGAGGAAGAACGAACCAATGGCAGCCAGCACGTCCGAAGCCATCGAGCAACATGATACCGGCAGCAAGAATGGGACAATGGGACGCACGATAGCTAATAGTAATATCAGGCTGTTTCGTCGGCCTTCTCAAAGCAAGGCAGTGGTGTCATCATGAAACCAATAAAAGTGCGCTCTATGAGAAGGAAGACAGCCAGCATGATGGTACCCATGAAACCCATGGTAACTCGTCGAGGTAGGTACCGTCGTCGTCCTCAACATTCGGTGCATTTTTTTAAATAAAAGGTACTGTACTAGATTCTTCGCTCGGAGGGTGAGTTGTCGGCCATTCGAACATACAGGTATGCATTGCTCGGTACGGTTTGGTATCCAGTTTCCAGCATTGACCTTGCTTGCCATGTGCATTTCAACGACGAGCAACAATGACAGGGACACTGTCAGCTGGACGCTTCACAGGAGGTCCTCCTTGGCAAGCAGCCAATCTACCGGTACCGTGCCCGTCGACTCTTTTTAAAAATGTGACTACATGTACCAGGTAATAAAGGATTGACAGTACTAGTAGATCTAGTCTGTCTAACTGGCTGTACTCAGCTTCTTGCAAACTCCTTTCTCGCACTTTCGGCTGGTCCAGTTCCTTGGTGTGGGTGAAATCCTCGCCTCCCGTGAGATGGAGCGCCGGATACCGGTATTCAATCGAGCCATCGAATCGAATAAATAGACCACCACCCAAGCTAAGCCCTCACCCTACCGTACCGGTATGGATTTCAACCTGTGCCACCACTTGCGAATTGCGCAATGGGCATCGATTGAATGATCCAGTGGCAATCAATTTGTGCCTTGCCAACTAGTGAAGGAATACTTAGCGGTTTGGGAGATTTGAGCATAGTTTGACGTTGCTTGCAAGTAAATGTTTTCCTTGAAAAGTAGGCTTTATGACTTTGTCACATCAATCCTTAGCATGTCCTCAAAAGATCTGATTATTTCCTCTCGAGGAGAATGCTAGGACTATGAGAAGTTACTTAACAAAAGTCTTTTATTAACTCTTTGAAGCAAAAAGAGTCACAGTGTTGTTGGTTCGTCTTCCTGAATTTGTGACCTGTGACCCTTTATCTTGTCCCGGTTCCGCGCTGCTTTGGCGGAGTGAAAGACTTGACTGTCGAATGTCACTCGTTACTCGGCTCTGTTCGACTGAAGCAAGAGAGGAGAGAGGAGCCATCTTGGCGGTCTACTACGCTACAGGACTACTCAGTAGCAGTACCAGTACTAGTCGACTTACTTGTGTGGAGGCAACAGCAGACAGTCAAGGAGACGACAGAGCTAGAGTCAACAGCACCAGTAACAACCGCAGCAACATCAACAAACACTACTACAAGTACGACTAGCTAGTAGCAACAAACAAGAGACGAGTCATTCCCAGTTCGCTCACTTGTTCCAGTCTTGCCGCTCTTGGTCACGAGAGAAGCAACAAGCGACAAGCGACAAGCGACAAGAAGCCATACCTCTACTACCAGCACCACCACGAGCAGCACCACCACTACTTCTACCTACTACTCTACTGCATTGTTAGTAATTGGCATTGCTTCCGTCGTCGTTGACAAGCGCCGCAACAACAAGGAAAGCAGCAACAACAGCAGAAACCCAGTTGTTGGTTGGAGCCATTGCGCGTCCAAAGTTCAATCTCTTGGGAATTCCGGTAACTTCAGTCCAATAGCTGGAGCACTATTGCTAGATTTGATACTGATACGGTAGCTATCTTGACAGTCCACAGTCCAAGCGCCCCACAAGAACTCTACTAGCACCCAGCTAACCAACACAAAGCAGGTCTTACTTCACAAGAGAGCTAGCAGACGTCCCTTTCGCCTGTACCGCCCACCCTATACAAGCTACAAGCTACGAGCTACAGTAAGAGATTAGATAAGATGACTGGACAACAAGGAGCTACCACACTGTGGTCTGGCTTGGAGACCAGAGGCATGAAAGAAGCCAAGTGTTCGTTGCTGCTGCAAGAAGATGCTGCTTTTGAACCCAAGATCAAGGCACTCCCCAAACAACGGGTGCTCGTATACCAAGACAAGGGATTCCATCCAAACAGTGCTAGCTCCAATCACAACAGTGCTGCTAACGGATCCAATCCAAATGGGGCAAACAACTCTAATGAAGACAACTTCTACGTCGACTTCAAAGGATGCACCATCTTGCAATTAGAACCTTCCTTTGGACCCACACCCCAACGAACCATGCCCGTCACTCTCACCGTAGGAGGCCGTTGTATCTTCACACCCGAAAACTATCATGACTTTAGAGTCATGATGCGCACCAAGGAACAGTCACGAGAAATGGATATCGCACCCAACGGAAACTTTGATTGGCCCGATGTACAGTCCATGCTGCTCTGTCCACTCTGTGGAAGCAAGGCGCCCATCCCACAAGAAAGAGACGAATACGAACTGGAATACTGGATGCTCTTCTACCCACTCTTACAAATTACCGTCATGAAGGGATCACAAATGACACTCGGAACTAGAACCGTATGTCGCTTAACGTGTCTCGAATGCATGGAAAACTTGTTGGAGGGAATGGTACTCACCGTACAACCTGGATCTTCGGCCACCAACTCCACCAAGAATACGAGACTCTCATTCACGCTGCCGGCCTCTAATGTTCTCGCAGAGGCTGGATCGGCTTCATTCCTCGAAGACGGACCACCAAGACCCGAAACACATCCACACGTTGACGATATTCTGGATGCATGGACCTTGTACAATTTGTGGGAACATTCCGGTGCTTGGGAAGCTCTACAGAATGACTACAGAATCGTTCTGTCACGATCCATGCAAGGAGACGGAGGCGGCGGGGCTGGAGATGAAGATGCAGCCGCTGCAGCTGGAGAAGGGGATGGACAAGCCGCATCATCCTCATCGGCACAGCAACCTCGGTTGCGAGAAAAACTTGGAAAAGCATGTGGTAACCAAAAATGCAAAAAAATACAAGGCAAGAAGGATCGCACTTCGGGGGAAATCATTCGTCTCACCGTACGCTGCAAAGAGTGCTTCTCGGAATTCTACTGTAGCAAGAATTGTCGAGAAAAGGCACGAGAAAAACACAAACCGGACTGTCTAGCCAAGCAACAAGAACGCAGGGAACGAAGAGAGAAGAAGGCCAAACGGGTACAGTGCGATACCTGTGGCCAAAAACTACCGTACACACAAATGAAAAAATGCTCCCGTTGTCGACAAGCTACCTACTGCAGCGTCGAATGCCAACGCGCCGCATGGGCCGATCACAAAGCTCACTGCGTCAAACGGGGGTAACACTGCAACATCTCCATGCCGTGATTCGATCGATCGAAACAGCAGGAACCAGACAGGCGGCGTGGTGGCGAAAGCAATGGTCGAATGGTACGGTACTAGAGGATACTACATTTTGTGATGGATTGAGAGAAGAAGAATTGGATTTGGTGGTAAGGATCGGAGGACGCCGGCTGTTGGTGCTTCCTTCGTTGTGCTGGTCTGCAGGTCTGCCGACTATTTTTGTTGTTGACCACTGGAACATTCAACAATGTTCAGTTGTCGTCATGTTGACGGAATGAATCGATTCGAATCATTCAATCTAGGGGCTCCCGATCCACTCGGATTGTTGATTTCATTGGGTGCTCCGAATGGCGACGTGCACGGGCGAAGGAGAAAATTAATACAACAGACCAATTTCGTTTGGCGTGACAAAAGACAAAGACGGAAGGACGGAACCAACCAAGGCAAGCTATCGCAGGAAGAGTCTGCGGTGGCTTCCCTATAATGATGGAACTAGTTTAGAGAGCAGGAGCAATTTGTACTTTTGTCAAGTTTCCACAGCTTACCACTGGAGACTGACACTCTAGTAGTCGTCCTGCTCTTCTCTCGGCAAGGGAGCTCGTAGATCGTGTAGATATTCCTGTTACTACGGTACCTCCGGACGCGGTTGCACCGCAACAGGGCACGGTTAGTCGATCCAGCATCGTACGTGCCGTATGGCGTCTGGGTCCGAGCCCTGTGGGGCGTCCCAGCAAAACCAAGGCAATTATTGCACCGGGAATTTATTGAATCTATCACAACACAACCAGCGACGGAGAGGACCCAAGTTGAAAATGTTGCTCGTCCAGCTGGAAACTCCAGTGTATGTCTTGCATTACGTGGCCTTTGCTCTAGCTAGGGACGAGCTGGTTAGTGTCGTCTCATGTACGGTATGTTGCCACCACAAAATATCCGTGGAGCTGTGTCATCGCCAAGACGACCAGCCAATTTCGGAGAGATGACCGACAACGCTTCCGCCGCAAACTGTTTCTCCTCGATACTACGGCTTCGCTCATTCTGAGGGGACTAGCTACGAGCTAGCTCAAACCGGAGAATCGTAGGAAGTTGTACATTTTGCACTTCTTGGCTTGCACGATCAAGCATGACATCCACATACATTCGCAGGCATCTAGCCTCCGTATTATCGTGGCTGCTGAGGCACAGGCTACATTCCACATTCCCAGTACCGTACCTGTACCTGTACCGGTACATGCAACCGGATATCGTACCTACACCCCAACTGTGCACGTCTATGGGTACGTGCCGGTATCCTAGCTAGTAGGAGTAACCGAAAGTTCATTCTGATTGTACTCGTGAGACAGCGAAAAATTGCTTGTCCCTATGTCATACCGCCCGTCTTGCCACCGTCGCAACCAACAGCGGATTGATCATTCACGTCAGAGCATCAATTCGAGCTTGAGGGAGGACTCGACTCCAGCCAAAGCTGAAGACGAGAAACTGAAAGGATATGAGCAGAAAATTCATCGGAAGCAAAACGCTGTGAGCAATCTTTGAACGTTGAAGCTTCGTTGGCTCTAAAGCTCGTGGCTCTAAACAGCCATCTTCCTGACATGAACTGAATTGGTAAGTTTGCTGCTTTTTGCTTGCCCTGTTTGCAGTTACCAGTTTCGTTGTTTGCCAAAGATTGTATCCACGGTCGAGTCCCACGCTGGACTTTGAGTTGGAGGTGCGGAAGTCGGTTGCGAAACCATTTTGTCGATTGCTCCAAAGATGCCATAGAATCTACCCCGGTCATAAGATACCGGTACCGTACCTTCCTTCCTATTTGAGATTGAGTCAAAATTGAGCCCAAGACATGCATGTAATGTTAGATAATCTGGACACTCTGGTAAACACATGAAAAGCTACCGTAAGGTACTGATGAGTACTGTATTGAGTGCCAATTCATGAGATAAATCAGGTTAAAGTGCATGCTCTGAAAAGCACAAAATAACTATAGTTTACAGTACCGGTACTGTACAGCAACCTTGTGAACAACAGTTGTTCATGCAGGCAGACCTTTAGCTGCAGCCTGTACTATGCATATATGAGTCGAGGCAACTTTTGATTCAACTTACTAGTAGTAAGATACCTTGGACCCAGTGGCAAGTGGCTCAGTAAGATAGTGAGGGGTGGAATAAATATGCAGGAAAAACCTTAGGAGATGCCTCTGTGTGCTTCATCCCCGTCAGCATTAATATCTAATAAGCAAGGTCAAAGTGTGAATGGCTGTCTGAGAGTGGCCTTTAATTAATTATTCACTGTAGAAGACCACTCTCAGTACATACTTGAACACTTCATTCGCAGTGACTGCAATCCCGTTCTTTGCCTTTTTATCGACATCCCACTTCTGTGAGGGAAAGACGCTGCGGTCGGTCGACCATGACGGTCTTTACTTTTGAAGGCGACGCCCTTGCCGCTACTACTAGTAGCAACGACCGCCATATGCATATGCATAGCAAGAGCAGCAACATGATGAACACCAGAACGAGTGACAGTCCAATCGACGCCAAGAACACCAGCAACAGCAACAAGATGACGGCTGTTCCCATCATGAAAAGTCTTAGTGGCATCAAGTTTGATAGGGTTAGTGTTAACGGCATGTTGGACGGGAGTGTGACCTTGACGAGTGAAGAGATTTTGTTTTGTGAGGAGGAAGCTGCCAAGGCTGGTAGCAATGCTAATGCTATACATACCAACGGTACACATACCAATGGTACTGGTACTAGTACTAGTAGTACTAGTGCACAAGCACAAGAAGATGACAGCCACAGCACTACCAGCACTCTAGCTACTGGTGCTTCTGCCACAGCTACAGGTGCTGTCACCACCACTGCAACTACTGCTACTAGTAGTAGCCCCAGTCCTGCTAGTCCTACATGTACTACCAGTTCAAGTGCTTCTAATGGAAACAACTCTGGCAGATTTGGGTGGGAGTGGAAATGGCCACTTAGCACAGTGCAAGAGAAACTGCTGGTCATCAAACCAGTCAGCTGTACTGTAGAAATCACATTCCTGGAAAACTCTGCCAGCTTGCCAGAATCAGGAGACTCTGTCAGTTTCAGATTGGCAAGTCTCAAGGATCTCATGAGATTCAGAAATGCCATCTCGGAAAACATCAAACTTCTCAAGACACAAGCACAAAAGGCACCTTTTAAGACGAGCCTGAACCAGTCCGGCACTCCACAGGTACAGCTGCAAAATGGAGGTCACAGCTTGAAGAATGCACGCGCAAGTACAAGCACTAGTTCAGGAAGAACACGAGAGGCCCCTGCCAATGATGGCAATGCCAACAACAATCCCTTCCTAAATCATGGCAAGACGGGCTTCCAGTTCAGTGCAGGTCAAATGTCCACTGATTCTGCTACGGGCACAGGTACCACTACTACTGATGCCGCTTTCAAACGCAAAAAGAGGAGAAATCCAGGTACTGGCTTCGCAAACAATGCCAACCACATGCACAGTATGCACAGTATGCACAACATGCACGCTGCAGGTGCTCCTCCAATGCCTTCTTTTGGCCAACCGTTTCCTCAGGCATTTCCTCAAGCGCAAACGCAGCAATCTCCGTATTCGGGATATCCCCCCTACCCTGCAATCCCGCCGCCGCCTCCTCCATCACCATTGACGCTTCCCTATGGTTACCCATCGTATCCTTATCCAGCTGCCACTCCGCCCTACCAATATCTTACACCGTACGGTCATCCATCGTACCCCACGTTTCATCATCACGCACATATTCCTCCGCCTCCACCGACCTATCCACCGTACATTCATCCACAGCAGCAGCAAGCATACATGCATCCACCGCACCCAACACATCAACCACCTCCCAATCAACATCAACAACAGCAAGCTGCGCCAACAGCACTGACATCAGAATCACTAGAGCCTAACCATCCGGCCTATGTTCAGCCATCTCTCATGGCACAGTCCTCCATGGCATCGTCGGTGGGAGTGGGATCAATTACATCCGTGGGACACCAACAGCAACAGCAACAGCAGCACCATCATGCTGGTCACAACAGATACTACAGCAATAACGGCAATGGTACAAATCGGCAACCGCAACCAACGAACAATTCCAGGGACAGGGATTACAACAACAACGACGACCGCTTTCGTGGTGGGGACCAAAACCACGGAGGGAACGATGAGAAACCTACTGGGGGCAATGAGGGACCTGCTAACAGAAGATACTATGAAGACAGCAATCACAACGGACAGCGAAGAATGGGAGACAACAACATGAACGGTAGAAATTATGGAAATGGCAACGACGACGCCCCAACGCATCGAACCAAGCTGAAGGATAGAGACTATGATGACGACGTGGACGTGCCAAGGCAGAATGGATACTACAACGATGCCGACAACCGTTCCATGATGCAACGCAACAATCACAGTCCAATTGCGATGTCAGGGAAAACAATGCCCCGTTCCGAAAGCAACGGGTATGATGACCAAATGATGCGACGAACTGACAGTGTCAGCTATGACAGTTACAACAACGGCAATGTTCGAACAATGAGACGCAACGACAGCGCCAACAGCCACAACTACACAGTGGAAAACACAAACGTCCACAACCTCATGAGGACAAGCAACAGCACCGATGGGTCTCAACCGAGCAAACTTTTGAACTTGGAGAACGTGGGGATTTCTGCTGTTCGGCAGTACGTTCCGGACGTTCGCAGCAGTGAGCACAGCAGACGCTCTGTTTCGCCAGGGCCGACTACAAGAAAAGGACCACAATACGAACCTGATTACAGTGCTCAGAGTCTTCGGGGAAGGCCGGATTTGAAGAGAGATTTCCGGGCAAATGCTTATGCAAGATCGCTTTCACCCGGACCACGCAACAATTCGGCAGGATCTCTGCGGGGAAAGTCACAAAGGGGAAAAGATCCCTTGGCGGATGACAGTGTTCTGGATGATAGCAGCAGCAGCGCCTCTTCGTCTTCCTCCTCGTCATCATCTTCCTCTGACAACAGACCGAGATGCTCCTCTGAACCAGATTTGACAAAAATGATGCAGGGCTACAGGAGCAAAATGCACGCTAGATCATCCAGTGGAAATAGCACTTCTTCCAAGCAAAATGCAACATTCGAAAAGAAGCCAAAAGGCCAGAAGGCGAAAGCTAGACCATCCATCACCAAACGATTTAGAGAGTTCTCCAACCGGTCGCTCAAAGTGGATCTGAATGATGACAAATACAATAACGAGACTGGCGGTAAAGTGAAGCGAGACGACACGGAACCCAATGTGTTGGCCAAACCACAGCATTCATCTGATACGTCGCTCGTCTCAAAAGCTCAGGGCAGTTCTCTGTCCCCATCTGTAACCTCACCGGCACCAAGAGCCCTACCACAACGTCCTCTGAGAAGGGGCTTATCCTTTTCGAGGGCACAGTCCATGAGGGGATCATTTGGCTCGAACTTGGAAAGTATCGAAAAACAAGAGTCCACGAAATCACTTAACGAAAGTGAAGCGTCCGTGACTGCCCCTCCCACCGCAACACGAAAGAGCCCCACCGCGCCTGCTTCCATAACACGCCCTCCGATGCGCTCGTCTTTTGACAGAATGCAAAGCTTGAAAATGGTCAAGGGGAAGCCAGTGTTGCCCACTGGAGCGTCCCCTCGCGGTGGCAACAGAGGGGGCTTCATGCGAAAGACTTCCTCAGGTAAGCACTAAAGTCGATTCCCAATTATCAGTAAATTTTTGCAGTGAGGCGTGAGCAATACGTTTGCAAGTGGATTGCTTGCTCTTACTTTTCTCCTTCTTCCGTGCTTTTAGAACGATTCTTACGGACCTCCCTACTCGACAAACAAGACGAAACTGACAGATCTCAGCAGAAGTCGAATTCGTCCAGGAGCCTACTTGGAGACATGGAATATGACGATTCAGACGAAAGCAATAATAGTGACGAGCACGACCAAGGCGCTAAGAAAGAAATTCAACCACCAGCGAACGAGAAGCTGCATTTTCAGTCTTCGCCACCAGGTGCAAACGTTCCAGGTGTTCAGTTCGTTCGTAAGCTTGGCAGCGACAGCAGTAACAAGAGCCACAGTCACACTCATGCTCACAGCAGCAGTGATCCCCGTGGAATGAGGAGAACGCTATCGAAGTCAAAATCCTATTGTGTGAGGCCTACGGTTATGGGGAAACAAATATCTCTGGAGTACGAAGATACAGGATCGCATAGCCATTCGCATGATGATATCTGTGACGAAGCCTGCCGAGAGGCCCCTGGGACAACCTCTCGGACGATGGCGATGAGGCGAAGGGAGTCTCTCTCGGTTGTCGAACATTCTGCAGGTCGAGCCAACTTGGCTCAAATGAAAATCGAATCTATGCGTCGATTGGAAAAAGACGGCACAGAGACACGAGACCCAAGAGGTAGAATACCACTGACGAGAAACGTAAGATCCTCGAGTCCTATGGTACGCGGATATCCTGAGAAGAATGGGCCTCAGTCTGCATTGCGAAAAGAAAATCTGCCAAGTGCGAAACCAACGAACGATGACTATGCATATGACAGCGAGGAAGAATCGCTTGAGGCCGTTCGAAAGGAGTTCGAATTGGAAGCAAGATTGAAGAAAGAGATGGCGAGTCTTTCAAACCCGATGCTGAAAAATGGAAAGAGTGACGGTGAAGACAATGAAGACAGTGACTGCAGCAGCGCTTCCCTTCGCACGGCCAAGAAGGAGCTCAAGCTGGAGGAGAGGTTGCGGCCAGCGAAAGCACGTCAACAAACTCTAACCACGCGACCCGACAGCGCAGCTAGAAGCAATGGCAACACAGACCAAAGGAGCGTGACCGACCGCAGGCAACTCTTGCGAACCACATCGTCTGAACGCCAGCTCCAGAAACCGCCGTCGCTTGTGAAGAAGGAAATGGCGCGACTGGGGTCAAGAAGGAACCTTATGGCCATGGATTCGGACAACTTCAACAAGGAGGACGAACAAAGGCTATCTGATCAGAAAGAAACACCAAGAGTGCGGGCTACGAGGCCGGGGGTACAATATGTAAGGAGTTGTAGTGCAGGTGACGCAGATGCTGATAGCACGAATCCCTCGAGCGGTAGAAACGATAGAGGGGAAAGTGCCGATGGGGGTGCCGAAGGAAAGAGAAAGGGCCGCAGGCGGTTATTGCGAACCGCGTCAAGCGACAGGGATCTTCAGAAGCCCCCCTCGCTTGTGAGGAAAGAATTGGCAAGGTTCTCAAGTGGTAGGAACCTGATGATTAAGAGTGAGCATGGCGAGGCTAACATGAAGCCCGATCCTGCTCTCTGGAGAGCTTCCTATGAAAAGAGAAAGGTTGGCTTGCTCGCCGCTCGCATGCGAAATGACGCTGAGAAAAAGCCACAAGTCAATAGGTCGCAGTCTGCCAGGAATCTTACTAACAGACCTTCGATATACAAGCAAGCGTCGTTTGCCAGCGTCAGAAGCCGACGCGAAGACGACGAAGACTCTTTTGTTGAGTCCGCCAACTCTGACGTCTTGCCCGATCCATCCAAAAGTGATCAAGAAGAACCTGATGAATACGATTCATGCGCAGAAAGTCGCCGATCTGATGTCAGGCAGGACTTGGTGAGCCTTGGAACCAGTAGCCGAAGCTTGAAGGGACAATTGTATCCCACTGCAGCAGATTGCGAAGACAGCGTTACAACTAACACAGAAGGATCCTTTTCGAAGCGCCCGAGTGAAGAAAAGCTGAGACCTCAGTGGCGAGCTACAAAACCAGGGATCCAGCACGTTAAAAACGATAATATATCGCATTCCATGGCAAAACAGGATATGGCCGCCCTGGGCAACCAGCGTGCCAAATCGAATGGGATGCATATTGCTCCTGGTGCTCCTGATCGAAGATTCAGAGACTCTGCAAACTACGACGAAGAGAGCAAGGAAGAAATCACTGAAGATCCCGAGGCCGTCATGCCTGGAATTTCGTTTGCCAGAAACAACGACAAGGACATGGTTAGCGATCAGATTGGGTTGAAAGAACTGCAGCTCTCAGGAGGACCAACCGATGCATCCGTTGCTGTGTCAACAATGTCAAATGATTTTGATGCAGCGGCGTCAAATGACGTTGATGCAGCGGCTCGGGAAAAGTCGAAGCTGGCGGGCGACATTGATCACGGAAACGGAATGATTGATTATGACACCGAAGAGTTCAACCCCGACGGCTTGATTATGGCAACGTTGGTCGATGAAGACGTGGACAACATTGTGACCGCGGTGACAGGTATGGAAGATCTTTCAGAGATAGTCTCTCCAGGGTCATTCGTTCTTGCGTTCACATCAACTCATCAATAATTCCATTTGCTTCTTCTTGCTGCAGTTGATCCAGAAGAGGAGTTTAGGCGAAAGAGAAAGGTGTACATCATGGTTTCGATTGGTTGTGGCTGTCTTCTGCTTATCATTACGTTGATTGCTGTCTTTGCTGGCCCAAGCAGTTCAAATATGCCGGATGTGCCTCCTCCCCTAACCCCAGAAGAACGCTACGAGTTATACTACAACCATCTGCTTGGGCTTGGATACAACTCTACCGTTTTGGATGACCCGTCTAGTCCACAGAGCCGAGCACTGACTTGGATTTCCATGGTCGACACATTGTATGAAGACCCATCAAACTTGAAACCGTTCGAGATGATTGAAAAAGTAAATCAACGGTTCTATCTGGTGGTCTTTTACTACACGATGCTTCAAGAAGGACAATGGAATAACTGTAAGGAACCCGAAACTGGCGAAAGCAATGCATGTGTCCACCATAACACCGAGTCGTTTGGTGTTGAAGGCCAATATTATAATCAGCAGCAAAGCCAACCGACGTTCCGTTGGCTGTCAAATGTGGATGAGTGTGGATGGGGAGGGATTCAATGTGATGATGGGGAGTGGGCATCTCACATGTGGTTAGGTGAGTCCTTCAGTTCGAGAAAAAAGGCTCTTTTTCGGCAACTGACACCCTTTTATGAATCTTTGCTAATTTCATCCAGGTGGCAATTCCTTGGAGGGCACCCTCCCCATCGAACTAGCCGAGCTGCGGAGCCTTAAGGTCTTGGATTTGCAGCAGAACCGTTTGAAGGGGCGCTTGCCACCGACTTGGGGCCTCATGGCAGTCAATGGATCTAGTCTGGAGAGTATTCGTTTGGACAAGAACGCGTTAACAGGTAGGTAACTTTGCCCAGAGCTGCGGGAAATGTTCAACACAGTCGTTGCCTCAACGATCGCGCCGGACGTCCACTCTTAGGAACGATCCCCAAGGAATGGGCAATGATGAACAGCACAAGCCTGAGAGAACTTATCCTGGCCCACAATTTCTTCACTGGCAGCCTGCCATCTGAGCTTGGCTTGTTGCAAGGGATGGAAGACTTCTCCGTGATGTACAACAGGTAAGACATTTTGTCAAATGAACAGAACAAGTAAGAGTCTTCTTTGGTATCCTAACCGAATTGTGAACAATATCTACAGCTTGACTGGCACTTTACCAGAAACGTTTGGCGAGATGAGCAAGTTGCAAACAATACATTTTGCGAAGAACAGCTTCGAGGGCAGGATGCCGGCTTCGGTCTGCGACCTGGTGGAGGAAGATTTGTTTGAGGCATCCACCGATTGTCTGGACATCCTTTCCGATTCCTATGTTCAGTGTTCCTGCTGTACTACATGCTGTTCACATACTGAAGCCGGGGATGGGGTTTGCGAGCTAAAGTTTGACATTAAAATGGGAATCCAACGAGGAATTGGTGGAGGCTGGTTTCAGAGTGACGAGGGAGAACCGTGATGAAAATGCATGAATACTCTTTGGTTCCGACTTCGAGCTTCCCTGCATCCGTGCGATCGACGATCTCTTCTTCGTACCATCCTCCCTCACGCAATCAAAACGACTAAAGGCCTCGCGACCCAGCGACCAAAAGGAATGGCACAGCCTGGACACTTGTTGTGACGAATGTTGTTCACCCGACGACGGCAATGAAATGTGGGTAACCCGACGACGGCAAAGACTGGAACGAACGACAATCGGTGGGTTTTTATGTTGCGTGTCAATGGTTTTGATAGATTGTCAAATCCTCCGACGCGAAACTGGGCCAAAACAGAAGCAGCTTGCATGAGAGAATTCGGGCCATCGTGTCGCTGAGTGCGCTCGTTTCGTTAGTCAAGGTGTTGGAATGACGAGGCCATATTTGGTTGCTTTTTTTATCCTGTGTGTAAACTAACTGTCTCCACCCTCGGCCAACTCACATTCGAGGCGCAGCAAGATGGCGGGCCCACGGAATCCTTTTCCCAAAATTTTCTAAGCATTTCATTCCAGCTAGCTAGTCTATCTACCGTGATCATGCAAGTTAATCCTTACACTTTCCTGCTTCATCGCAATAGCTGTCGTATTTTGTAGGGTGCTTGCAACAGAATTTTGAAGGACCGTTTCAATTGGGAATCGTTTTCCCACGTATCCCACCAAGGTCCACCGCCCACTTCTGCTCCACCTTGTTTGCTTTTGGCGTTGTCAATGAGAGGAGGTCCTGGTTTGGGTTCCCACTCTCTTGTGTCATCATTGTATTCCAATTCCCACAAGGTCAATGTGGTTTCCGCTTCGAAAGTGTCCCGACAAAAGTAGACCATCCCTTCTTTGGGAGTCGGAGCACGGAAGACGAGCCCTGGCGTTACCTTGGGATCTAGTTGGTAGGTGATTTCCACCTGGAATTTGCGGTCTCCTTCGGTGCATCTTCCATAGAGAACCCAGGACCCCCAGGTATCCACCTTCCAACCCATGGTACCAGTCCATGGGACGGCTTCATAGAATTTCCCTTGGTAGTGAACTGATACCATTCCTAGCGCTTCTTGTTTTCCAAATGGCACTTGTCGAATGCCTCCTCCAGCTGTGACTGACAGGGCTTTGCTTGGATCTTTGGTGTATCCCTCGAAGGAATTGCACTGTGTCCAATACCATTTACTGGGCAGAGCTTTGCCCCAATTCTTTTCGGCGTACAAGGGTGCATTTTGGAAGTTGTAGGTTGAGTTTTTCCATTTTACCGTGCCGGAGACTCGTGCATCTGCCAACGTGACTTGCCAATGAGGTTCAAAGACAGCAAAGGATGCCAACCAACCTCCAGTACTCTTTTGTGTGGCATTGACATCACCCCAACCAGCCAAGACCTGGTCGATGGAAATGTCAAAATAGCATTCACCCGGAATACCTTGTCCCTCAAGGACTCCTCCGAGCGTTCCATCGTGCCCCTTGACTTTTCCAATTAGGTGATTCGGTAGGACTTGGAAGCCTGATTCCACCTGTTCCTGCCACTGGTCCTTGGTCAATGATGTGGTGTATTTGTGCTGGTCAGTTTGCTGTTGCTGATCGCAATTGTAGGCAAAGTTGCAGCCGAATGCTTGTTCGTCCTTGGATGCCCAGAACTTGGTATCATCTGTATCTGCTTGAACTAGATATTCATCATGGGGTCCCACGACTTGAATGCACGCCAATTTGAGGTGGCTCTTGTCATTTCCAGGATCTTCAATGCTAATGATGAAAGCAAAGCTGACATTTCCCTGATCTTCTGGTAAGGTGAGTCGGTAATACCAGCCTTCCATGAATCTTTTCCTGGCCTTGAATCGTTTTATTGCTTTTCTTAGAAGCGAGGGTTTGTTTTGGTGGTACGCTGGATGGGATGGGGTAAAGTGTCTGCCACTATGGGGAGTTTGCAAGGGAAATGCTTTCTTATTACTAGAAGAAGCAAGAACATGCAAAGTCAAAGAAAATGACTTCATTTTGAGTTGTCTTGCCGTCGTCATTGGTGTGCTGCTTGTGGTCCATGTAGCAGTGAAGGCTTGAGATGGCCATTTAGCGATCAGCAGCAGGAGCAAGACCAAGAGCGAATGCAGCCGAGGTAATAGAGTCATGATCTTATCTAGCGGAATGCAAACTATGAAAGCCAAATGATCGGTGAAGAAGTATAGCTATGAGTGGCTTGTTCCAGCACGGATCTGTTGATGGCTCGACCTGTTTGCTTGACTGGGTTGCTTTTGGCATGGTGGACCTCTTGGGCTTGCATTCATGGCGTTGCTGTCCGAAAGGCGTCGCTGGACTGATATCTTCGAAACTCGTGACTTGCAGACTGACGTGTTGGCATCAATTCACTGGAAAGATCTTTTGCGTTCCAGTATACATGTAATAGCTGTACTACAGGTAATTTAGAAAAATGACTCAGGAGCAAAAAAGTAAAAATGTACCGAAAATGAATGGTGTAATTTTTAAAAATAAAGTAACCGAAATGAGTATTTGATTAATTTTCAGTTTCAGTAATCCTTTCAAAACAACAGCAAGCTAGTTTCGTGATAGTATTTTAACATTTTAAAATATTCAAATTTATTGCCGGGACTGATGTCTCAGTCCCGCCGCGCACTATCAGTGCACTGTAGCCATGACTCTAAGCGGAGCAATGTGGTAGCACACATGCTCCAATTGGACTGGCTGCCACTGCAGATAGTGCTAGGAGCCACTCATTGCTCTGAGCAGCCACCAAAGGAAGAGGACAATGATGTCCTTTTTTTCGTTTGATCGAACGGCTACTCGCTATGGCTACTAGCCTGTCGTTACCGCTTACTACTACGACTACCGCTACCGCTACTGCTACCGCTGTATGGCTGGAGCATTGTTATTTGGAACGATCGATCAATCGTTGGGTCTTTTTTGTTGTTGTGCTTTTCGGCCGATGACCAACAACAATCGACCTCCGGCCATGATGCGTTCACCACCTGGTGCTTCTGCTAGCCACTCATCTCAACGGCGAGTCACCAACTGGTGCTCCCACCATGATGACCGCTCGCCAATTGGCGCCTCATCTCCTTTGGCCTTGATGCGTTCACCACCTGGTGTTTCTGCTAGCCACCACCTCGGCCTTGATGAGTTCACCGCCTCGTGCTTCTCTGGCCACACTGCCATGATGAGTTCACCGCTTGATGTTTCTCTAGCCCCTTGCCATGATGAGTCGTCACTGCCTAGGGCTTCTCTAGCTCCGCCAACTGGCATCTTGAGCGACACCAAGCAATTGGTGCTTCGACTCCCTTTCTCTTGAGCGACACCAACTGGTGCTTCGCTTCGGCCAATCGGCAATGGAGTTCACCAACTGCACAACTAATGCTCCTCCTATCACGCACACCAACTGGTGCTGCCGTTGTGGCCGTGCGTCCCGACTCCAGGGCCATGGTTGCGATTTCGCGATTTTGACAACAACAACAACAGAAGCTGGATCCGCCCTTAAGTCTTCACCGGATCGACCTTCTAAGTCTTGCGATCTTGGCAAGATTGTTCGTCCCTATGTTTTTGCGCTCTTGACTGCATCCGTCATCCCCGCTTTAAAAATCCAGAATCCGAATGACGTAAGTTGCCGATGACGTCAGTCGTAACCGGACTTGATGACGTCACGTTTCGTGACGTATTTTCATCCATGCTTTCGAGTCGATGCATGAAAAGTCCTTCGACCAAACTCGATGTTTGAAAAGGACATGCGGGCCTTTAAATCTTTGACTTTGACTTAAAGTAACCCCCTGTCCAGGTGTAGGCAAGGACAGGGGGCAAAGGACTAAGGTAGGTTAGGCCTCGTAGAGTTCTTCGTGAAGAAGAATCTCACTGAAGTGTTGGGGCGCTTGCGCCGGGAGGAGGTGGCGATCGTAGGTGCCTCCCGGGAAGTTGTACGCTCCATGGTCCAGCATCTGTTGGGAGTGGTGGTGGCAGCGGCTTGGATGCGCAGGTAGCGGAGCATGGCATCGGACTTCCAGGGGCCGAGAAGGCAGATGGCATCCGAGTCAACATGTGCACAGAGAAGGGCTGTGGCACCACCAGGACGGATGGAGCGGGCAGAGAGCTTGTCAGGGTTGATGCCGGTGTCGTGGGAGATGAGGGCCACAACGTGGCCGAGGGCGTTGGTGATGAACTGGGGCTTCACAGGATACCACCGGTTGCGGGCCGCATTGAAGTGGTTGAAGAGGGGAGTGTCGGCGCCGGCGCCGTTGGTGCGGAGATGGTAGACCACACACGCGAGAGACTTCACCGGGCAGAGCCACGGATCAGAGGTCGGGTGGTGGCCCACGGATTCGCCACGGACAGCCTTCTTTTAGTCAGTGAACATAAACGTGGCATCGGTGAGGCACGCGTGGTTCTTCACGTCATTCAAAGAGATGGTGTCTCCGCGGACTTGGAGGCCGCCGTGGACAGTGAAGGAGACATAACAGAGGTGAAAGGCTTGGCTCCAGGATTCAGGGTTCCCGGTGTCCAGGTACTCCACAGGGCGCAGAAGCCAGAAGAAGGCCAGGATGCAGAGGTCGCGGACGTGGCGGTTGAGGGTTCCCCAGGTGGCGTCGTCGTAGTCCAGGGCGTCGAGCATAGCTCAGAGGATGGAGAGGTTGACGGGGTAGGCTCGGTCAGGGGGTCCATCTTCATCCTTGAGTCCTTTGAGGAAAGCAGCAAGTATTGGATGGTTGTAGTCGGATCTTGCTTTGAGCTTTCTGGGATCCGGGTGCATCTAAGAAGCGCATTTTTAGGTAGCGCGAAAACGGGAGCACCCCTACCATACCATTCCACGTGTTTGGCATATAAAATCGTGACGTCGCTGGTTAAAGCTTTGGTAGTAATTCAGCAGTTTCGGAAGGTGACGTCATCCAACCGGATCCGACGAGCTCCTGATTTGTAAGGTAGCATGCATGATAACATACAGCCACGACCTTGCCAACCTGCGACGGGATATGTTGGGGATTCGCGATTAGGGATTCAACCTGTACCTCTGTACTAGAATTTGATGCCAGTAGCAAAAGCTGGTACCCCACCCACTTTTTCAGTAGTATCTCAATAGCAACAGTAACAACTAGAAGAGAGCTTAGAGCAACTAACATACTACTGAAAAAGCGGTCTACTATCGATATCGAAGAAGCGAAGCAGTAAAGAGGAGCCTATCGAAGCAGTGAGTCAACGGTAGCAGGAAGAAGATCGACCGAGCATCGGCCGACGCCGAACGCGACGCGAGAAGAAGATCAATAGCCGACCAAGCCTGTCGAAGGATCGACAGCAACAAGAGAAGAAGACCGTCGACGACGACAACGACGACGGCATCGGTACAAGACCGAAGAGCAGAAGACTGTCGAAGGATCGACAGCAACAGCGACGACGCAAGATCCGAGGACGCAACGAGTGAAGGATCCGAGGACGGATCGAGAGGAGACTGCAGCCGACGACGACGCGAGTATCGGTCGACGACACAGCAGCAAGAGTTTCATCGAAAGCCATAGTGCCAGCGCAAGGGTCAAAGGACGGGCACCCAACAAGGAATCAACAATACAAAGAAACGGGTTTGGAGTGGAAACGACCGCACAGTGTGTGAAGCAATCGTTCCCTCCTTGCAAGATCTTTAGTAAATAGATTTAACACTCCCTAGCCAGGAGTATAATTTGAAGTTTATCGCCCCATAGCCATAAGACGAATAAGTAGTCGGACGAGAACTTAAATTAAAAGAGCTAGTCAATCAAAAAACAACGAATTGAAATAGTCCACCTACCGTAGCATAGACAATGAGCGGTAGAGGTAAAGGACGAGGTGGCCAAGGAGGCGGCAAAGCACGAGGGCATGGAAGAACCAGCCCATCGTCGAACCAGCAGAAAGGTTCATGCAAAGCCCTCGACCAACATGTGTTTAACTTCGGTACAACTGGATCTGGAACGGCAGACCAGATGATACGCACATGGAGAAGATCGTCATCCACGTTGGACAAACGATGGGTGACGACATGAGCAATGAGCTACGCAACCTGAAACAGACAGTTGGTAGCACCGGTGTACTCAACGGAGACCGGAACAGGCTTGAAACGGCGAAGTACGACGTGAAGTGAACAACCGATCGTCTCCTAACGGCAACCCAAGCAAGCCTACAGCTACTGGAAAGAGAAAACCGCAGTCACCAATGACCCGACTCTCGGTAGCTTACGCACACTAACGATAGAAAAAGCACAACTCGTTAATGAAATAGCCGACCTTACGCAGCCATAGCGACCCACCGGAAGAGGAACTCCGGGGACTCGAGAAAGCAGAGTATGGAGGGCTGATGAAGACCCACCTTACGAGGTTGGCAAAACTACAAGAAAATAGAGGCAAAGCTTTCAACTTGATCCTAGGGCAGTGCATCCGACTATTAAAGGACAAGATTGCTAACGTGAGGAAATACTACTTGAATAGAGGATCTTGTAGAGGTAGCTACACCACGAGATCAACTGAATATTCAAGAACGAGTGCAAAGTAAATGCAAAGTTCGCTTTTAGTAATTCATAATCTATGGTTGTGAGCTTTGATTGAGCGATCAGTAAAGCTAGTTGTAGCGTGTTGGATCAATGCATCGTGGTAGTTGATCTTGATTCATACGGAAGTCAACGTGGTATCTGCGGGAAACGGTTCGTTGCAGGATGCTTTACTCCTGTCGAATACTCCATTTACCGTTTCTTTTTGTTTCGTTGAGAACGTGTTCTTGCCAGCGTTCTCTGTCCATCGTGTTGATCATAAAGCATGACTCAATCTACTCACGGATACTCTGAGTCGTGGAGGAACTGTAACGCTTTCACTCCCCTCAGTGGCGACTGTCGACTCTGAGTTTTTCTTACCGCAATCCTTGGTATCTCCTGACCAAAACAGTAGTGCATTCAGCATAGGCCATACCGATGATAGTCCCAGTGTTTGCTGAGGATATCTGCAGGGTTAGTAGATCCAGGGATATGATGAAATCTCAAGATACTTGCAGCAACAGCTTCCCTAGTATGGTGGTAGGAAAGCGCATTGTCTTTTGAGAATCTTTGAGTGTGGCATCGAGGCGGTGAGTAGAAGCTGATTCAGTCCCAACACCACATGGATTGACTGCCACAGAAGATTAAGGATTCCACTGAAGGCACCTGATCAGGAGGAGCAATGTGCAGGTTTGAACCAAAGAAGAAACTAGATAGCCAACCTAAGCTCACAATTCAAATCTAAGAAAAGTTGTAAACCAAACTACTTTCTACTAGCTTATCAGGCGTGGTAGTTCTGCTTCAGCTAAACAAGCAGCGAATTGTCAGACAACAAAAGACACAAAAGACCAGTACAGTGGTTCCACAAGACACAAGACAAAGACAAAATCAGTCCACGTTTGGAGAACTGAAGAGAAGATATAAGAACATTGAATCCCATTTCCAAAGAAGAAAGAGAACTACAAAGAAGACTTAAGAACATTGAATCCATTTCTAAACTGAAGAGAATAGATCACAAATCAAGACAAAACAAGACAAAACCAAAGACCTACCAGAAGACAACCAACAAGATGACAACTAAAGAAGATATAATGAAGTACGTACTAGACATCATTGATGTGGATGAAAGTGAAGCTGGTATCACCACTCCAAAGAGCCTGTTGAGGGCAAGCATGGAAAACCTTCGGAAGCTTTCGGCTGACAGCATCCTTACTCCCATACAACTAGATGAACTATTGAGGTTCCGCCAATGGATGAAATCCAAGAAAGACAAGAATGAAACAATTCCAACATCCATCGATGAATGGAAAAATGACTTTACTGTGCAGTTTTTGAAGCCTTTTGTGACCAAGAGCAGGTCCCGACGCCACCACAGCACCAGCACCAACCACTACCACAACTACAAGTACAACAACTCAACAGACAAGCACCACTACAAAGAAACTAATCAAGTATCACTCCTTGATTTTCCAGTATTTAAAGGACGGCAAGAGGAATGGAGGGCTTTCAAGAAGGAAGTGGTGTCAACCATGGGACTTCTTCAACTATCCGACCTACTTACCATCAAGACAGATGCTGAAGTCCAAGCCCACCAATCCAAAATCAACAATGACCCTGAATACAAGACCAGAGTTAAGGAGTTCTTCTCCGTGCTATCCAAGAAGACGGCTAAGGTAGTGCCAGCTCTAAGGTAGACAAGCACATCGTCACCATGGACGGTGTCCTTGTTTGGAGAGACCTTTGTACCTACTATGACTTTGGGGGAGACAAGGAAGCTCAGGCAACGTCACTCCTAGGGGAGCTAACCAAGCGCAAGCTTTTATACAACAGCCCCGGTGGATTCGACATGTACTACAATGACTTTGATGTCAAGTGTCAAGAGTTAGATGAGATAGGGCACCCTCTGGCTGATACCCTCAAGAAGACTCTCTTCCTACAAGGCATATTGGACAGGGAATACAATGCTGTCATTGACCATTGCCAGAAAGAGTCTTATGCTACCACTATTGACCTATTGAGGGCAAAGGCTCGTAGCCTCGGTAGGGCCGCCGACCGGGCTCGCCGAGTGTCCAACTACCAGAGCAACTACAAAGCCCGAAGGGGACCAAAGCAGGACGAAAATGATGAAGATATATATGACAATCCCAGCACCTTCCCAGATCACGTTTGGGAACAGATGACCGAGGCAAATCAGACATGGATCATGGACCACCAGGACAAAGACAAAGAGCAACCAAAGGACTATGGAAAACAGTACTCTGGGAAGAAAGGGGAGCCAAATCAATACAAGGCAGCCATCCCAGAGACAGACATGAAGCAGCTCAAGGAACAGCTCAAGCAAGAACTAAAGATGAACTCAATGCCACTACCGAAAAGAATAAAAAGGTAACTATCGTTGACGAGAATCCAGATGACAAGCCTCAGTCAATCTGGCGCACACCAAAGAACAAGAAGTAAGTATGAACGGGGAACCAATATGGTCCCTTTGTGCTGTGTATATGTGAAATTTGGATCCAGGAACTGCATCAAGGGGAGTAGTAGAAGCTGATTCAGTCCCAACATCCACTATGGGATTGACTGCTACAGAAGATAAAGGATTCCCACTGAAGGCACCTGATCCAGGAGGAGCAATGTGCAGGTTTGAACCAAAGAAGAAACTAGATAGCCAACCTAAGCTCACAATTCAAATCTAAGCAAAGTTAAGACAGGTCACACTAAAAACCTCAACCATCGGTCTGTCATCGTCCGGACTTATGAACTGATTCAGCCAATCTAAGTTTATCGCTCGTGTAGACTATGTACGGCGTGCTACGGTGCGACGATTAAAGATTCCTTGTTAATCACTTTTATATAGAGAGTAGCACACCCCCGAAATCGTCTTTTAATTCTCCGGAAGAAGGCGTCAACTGCCCCTTAAGGCCGAAACGGACGACGGACGGTCAAGCGCGGATTTTAGTCTGACCTGTCTTAGTTGTAAACCAAACTACTTTCTACTAGTGTTGAGGCTGGTTATTCCTATATATAGACTCGTGAATTGAGTTTTGGTCACGGCGGTCGAACCATGATGATTGTATCGACTTCCTCTTCATGTTCCCAATGTTTGAGAGGCCGGTTCGTTTTGGGCACAATCTGACCGTTTTGCCTTGCTATAGCCCATGAAAATGGTGGAGAAAGGCCGTTTTTTGAAAGTCCCCGAAAGTGATACCACATTGTCGGGCACGCTTAGTAGGCCCAAGAAACGTCTCTTCGACCTGGTCTAAGCACCCGTTTTGGACCTCGAATCGACGTTTTCTTGCTGGTTCGACCCCTGGAATGCCACGAGGTTGAATCGGGACCGATAAGTCCACACCAGCTGGCTGCATCAACCTCTATGCAGCATCCGGTGAGATGGAAGGTGTTATCAGACTGTCACCACTGGCTACACCCTCTGGGTGCCACTGGAACGTGGTGTTTTGGCTCGGTTCTGCGGCAGGGGAGGTATCCAACGCGGCGCATAGGCTGGTTTTTCCTATATATAGACTCGTGAATTGAGTTTTTGGTCACGGCTGTCGAACCCTGATGATTGTATCGACTTCCTCTTCATGTTCCCAACGTTTGAGGGGGCGGTTCGTTTTGGGCAAAATCCTTGCATAGAGGTTTATGAAGCCAGCTGGTGTGACTTATCGGTCCCGATTTCACCTCTGGCATCCAGGGGTCAACCCAGCAAGAAAACGCTCGATTCAAGGTCAAAACGGGTGCTTAGAACAGGTCGAAGAGCTCTTGGTCTACTACGGGCCTACTAAGCTTGCCACGACAATGTTGGTAGCAACTTTCGGGGACTTTTCAAAAACGGCCTTTCTCACCATTTTCAATGGCATATAGCAAAGGCAAAATGTCAGATTTTGCCCAAAACGAACCGCCCCTCAAACATTGGGAACATGAAGAGGAGTCGATACAATCATCAGGTTCGACCGCGTGACCAAAACTCAATTCACGAGTTATATATAGGAAAAACCAGCCTATGCGCGTTGGATACCTCCCTGCCGCAGAACCGAGCCAAAACACCACGTTCAGTGGCACCCAGAGGTGTAGACAGTGGTGAAGTCTGATAACACCTTCCATCTCACCGGATGCTGCATAGAGGTTGATGCAGCCAGCTGGTGTGGACTTATCGGTCCGATTCAACCTCGTGGCATTCCAGGGTCGAAACAGCAAGAAAACCCCGATTCGAGGTCCAAAACGGGTGCTAGACCAGGTCGAAGAGCTTTCTTGGCTTATAAGCGTGCCCGACAATGTGGTATCACTTTCGGGACTTTCAAAAACGCTTTTCTCCACCATTTTCATGGGCTATATAGCAAGGCAAAATGGTCAGATTTTGCCCAAAAACGAACCGCCCCTCAAACATTGGGAACATGAAAGAAAGTCGATACAATCATCAGGTTACGGACAGCCGTGACCAAAAACTCAATTCACGAGTCTATATATAGGGAAACCAGCCTATGCGCGTGGATACCTCCCCTGCCGCAGAACGAGCCAAAACACCACGTTCCAGTGGACCCAGGAGGGTGTAGCCAGTGGTGACAGTCTTGATAACACCTTCCATCTCACCGGATGCTGCATAGAGTTTGATGCAGCCAGCTGGTGTGGCTTATCGGTCCCGATCAACCTCGTGGCATTCCAGGGGTCGAACCAGCAAGAAAAGCCGATTCGAGGTCCAAAACGGGTGCTTAGACCAGGTCGAAGAGCGTTTCTTGGGCCTACTAATGCCGCGACAATGTGGTATCCTTTCGGGGACTTCCAAAACGGCTTTTCTCCACCATTTTCATGGCTATATAGCAAGGCAAAATGGTCAGATTTTGCCAAAAGAACGGGCCCCTCAAACATTGGGAAAATGAGAGAGAAAGTCATACAATCATCAGGGTTCGAGACAGCGTGACCAAAACTCAATTCACGAGTCTATATATAGGAAAACCAGCCTATGTGCGTTGGATACCTCCCCTGCCGCAGAACGAGCCAGAAAACCAGTCCAGTGGCACACAGAGGGTGTAGCCAGTGGTGACAGTCTGATAACACCTTCCATCCACCGGATGCTGCATAGAGGTTGATGCAGCCAGCTGGTGTGGCTTATCGTCACGATTCAACCTCGTGCATTCCAGGGGTCGAACCAGCAAGAAAACGCGATTCGAGGTCCAAAAAGGGTGCTTAGACCAGGTCGAAGAGGTTTCTTTGGGCCTACTAAGCGTGCCCGAAATGTTGATCACTTTCGGGACTTTCAAAAACGGCCTTTCTCCACCATTTTCATGGGCATATAGCAAGGCAAAAGGTCAGATTTGCCCAAAAGAACCGCCCCCTAAACATTGGGAACATGAAGAGGAAGTCGATACAATCATCAGGTTCGACAGCCGTGACCAAAACTCAATTCACGAGTCTATATATAGGAAAACCAGACTATGATGCGTTGGATACTCCCTTGCCGCAGAACCGAGCCAAAAACCCATGTTCCAGTGGCACCCAGAGGGTGTAGCCAGTGTGACAGTCTGATAACCCTTTCCATCTCACGGATGCTGCATTAGAGGTTGATGCAAGCCAGCTGTGTGGACTTATCGGTCCCGATTCAACCGTGCATTCATGGGGTCGAACCAGCAAGAAAACGCCGATTCGGAGGTCCAAAACGGTGCTGCTTAGACCGGTCGAAGAGCGTTTCTTGGGCCTACTGCGTGGCCTACTAAGCCTGCCCGACAATGTGGTACCATTTCGGGGACTTTCAAAAACGGCCTTTCTTCACCATTTCATGGGCTATTAGCAGGCAAAAGTCAGATTTTGCCCAAAACGAACCGCCCTCTCAAACATGGAACATGAAGAGGAAGTCGATTCAATCATCAGGGTTCGACGCCGTGACCAAAAACTCAATTCACGAGTCTATATATAGGAAAAACCAGCCTATGCGCGTTGGATACCTCCCCTGCCGCAGAACGAGCCAAACACCACGTTCAGTGGCACCCAGAGGGTGTAGCCAGTGGTGACAGTTCTGATAACACCTTCCATCTCAGGATGCTGCATAGAGGTTGATGCAGCCACTGGTGTGGACTTATCGGTCCGATTCACCTCGTGACATCCAGGGGTCGAAACCAGCAAGAAAACGCCGATTCAGGTCCAAAACGGTGCTTAGACCAGTCGAAAGACGTTTCTTGGGCCTACTAAGCGTGCCCGACAATGTGGTATCACTTTTCGGGGACTTTCAAAAACGGCCTTTCTCCACCATTTTCATGGGCTATAGCAAGGCAAAATGTTCG